ATCCCAAATCATTGAGGCCAATTTCTAGCCATGGAATAATGGCGCACCTGTCCATAGATCCATAGATCATTAGATTTAATCTATGCACAAAACCAGAGAGACTAGACTCCACGCACAAAACATATAATACACTGTCAGTTGTCAGCTGTCACAACTCACAACTGTCGTAAGTATTTTATATGTTTTGTGGTCACAAGTTAAAGAACTCCTGAACGTAATTGTCAATTAATTTTTGCCATTTTTCCATATTTTTCATTGTTTAATGTGTGAAAAAAACAGTTTCGTTAACTTGTGGTGGAATCTAAAAAGAGAGCCAAAGCAGTATTAAAACTGTAATATCTCTGTGAGAGATAACCTAACAACTAAATATTTATGTCTTTTATGATTATGTTAATAGATTTTTAATTCCAGCACCAATACATAGATATAGTAAAAATTGAACGCATCACAAAAGTAATTTAAAATTTTAAAATGTCCCGTAAACATAATAGTGCTACATCTAGGCTAAAACAAGACTATTTACGTTTAAAGCGAGACCCAGTTCCATATATAACAGCAGAACCTCTTCCTACAAATATATTGGAATGGTAAATATAAATTTTATATTTGTTTATTTTCACACTAGATAAAATTTGTTTTCTGTTGAGATATAAATTAAGTTATTGCATTACCTACGTTCATTATGATCATTTTAGGCACTATGTTGTATGTGGTCCTGAAAACAGCCCTTATGAAGGTGGCTTCTACCATGGAAAATTAGTATTTCCAAGAGAGTTTCCATTTAAACCACCATCAATATATATGTTAACTCCTAATGGACGCTTTAAAACCAATAAAAAACTGTGCTTAAGTATATCAGATTTTCATCCAGATACATGGAATCCTGCTTGGAGTGTTTCCACTATTCTCACTGGACTTTTGAGTTTTATGGTATGTGAATATTTCTAGTCCACGGGCCCACGCACAAAAAGAAAAATGATTACCAGCAAGCTGTAACTTTGTGTGCAGCATAAGTTTGACGAGTCTCCCAAGATTTGACAGGAAAATTCAGCAGTGGTAAGTTTTCCCGTGATTTTCAGGAAAACATGTCAATCTGGCATAGACATGGAATGTTATAACCAGCACTTTTTTTTAAGATTAAATGAAATATATATTTTTTTAAACCCCCCAAAAAATGTGTCCGACAAAAATTTTAGTATTTTAAGTTTGTCCCCCACTCCAAATATGTCGATGTGGTGACATTATGGTTGGTGACAACCAGTAAGCATTTTTCTGGGAGGGTTTGGTAATAAGATTTGAAATGAAAGTATCTTATTGTCCGACAAAATTCTTGAGAAGTTTTTGCACTCCGACGCTCCGAAGATGTCGATTTAACGACAACATGGTTGGTGATATCCAGCAATCTGGTTTGAATTTTTTTCTCTAATAATTGAAATGTATAACACAATAATATACTTGTCCGCCAAAAAGATTGGAAAATTTGCCTTAAAAATGGGAAAGATCACTATTTTTGTGGTACCTAATGTTCATTCCACTATAAAATAATTAATTTTTTAGTGAAAAAATAAAAAAGAATAAATAAGAAAATTATCATGTTAACAGGAGCAACAGAAATCCATATATAATTATGTCTATAAAAATTAATTTAATTAATCTCCATCAAAATGATTTCTTTGTTCAAAAAACTTATATGTACATTTTATTTTATAAACTATTGTAACTATTTTATAAAAAATGGTAACTGCAAAATGAATGCATAAATTTTTGCTTGTTTTTTTAATTAAAATTTGCAATCTTGTTTTGACAAACAGTTTACACATAGTTTTGTTCTTGAAAAACCAATTAAACCAGTAGTTCATGTAAAAATTTTTTCTTAGACACGCGTTTTCGAGATACAGTGTGTTGAAGTTCAAGTTGTTACTTTCCAAATGATTATCCTTAATTATCTTTCAATGGGCTAAAGATAAAAATGTCAAAATTTGTACACGAGTAAACATCAACTGTGCGTTAAGAATAATGTGCAAATGGTTCCTTTCTGAAAAGTAGTGTCGCTGATGCAGGTAATTGGAGGATTACAACCGAAAAAAAATATATTAAAAGTAAAAACTTGTTACATTTCTAAACAGTTCTGTAAACTCTAAAGCATACTACAAAAAAATATATATACTTGTCGAAATTCGGTAGCATGTACCATTTTCGAGAAAAATGAAGTTGCATAGAAGCAAGTGGGGGACAATTTCAGCATCTACTGTAGTATTTCGAGTTTTGCTCATTTATTTAATTATGCAGCTGTTTTGTTCTGTATGTCTCCGAGTCTGTTTCCTAATATTTTTCTGTTCTTATCACTTTTTTAAGCATTCCATGTCCATCAACAAATCAGTTCTTTCAACAATTGCTTATTTTAGTAGCGGTTTTTGTTGTAGTTTACAAAACCTAAAATTAGTTATTAATATACTTACAATTAATTACCATAATTCGTTTATTTTAATTTACTTTTATAAATGTTAGTTTACAAGCTGAAACTTAAAATAAATTTTAATTTTTTTTTAGCTAGTAAAGTGTTTTACAATTTAACTGTTTCATGTGATGCGTAAGAAATTAAAATTATAGTCTTAAATGCAAATACTGTTGGTAGGTAGCTAAATGTCTTCAGCTCATTCAATGGTAAAGTCCTCTTTCAATTTAATATTTTGTTAATGTACTTGTGCCGCTTTATGTGAGTTCATTTTCCTCGAAAACGGTACATGCTACCGAATTTCGACAAGTATACCTATTTTTTGTAGTATGCTTTAGAGTTTACAGAACCATTTAGAAATGTAAAAAATTTTAACATTTTTTTTTTCGGTTGTACCCCTCCAATTACCTGCATCAGCGACACTGCTTTTCAGAAAGAAACAGTTTGCACATTATTCTTAACGCACAGTTGATGTTTACTCGTGTACAAATTTTGACATTTTTATCTTTAGCCGATTTAAAGATAATTAAGGATAATCATTTGGAAAGTAACAACTTCAACACACTATATCTGAAAAACAGGGCATCTAAGAAAAAATTTTTACATGAACTACCCTTATTATTTTCCCATGAGGAACTTGCACACAAGTTTTTTTGAAACATGAAAGGGACACCCTGTATACAATTTTTTTGTAATTGTATAAAAAAATGAATTTAAATTAGTCATATTTATTTTGAAATTTGAGAAGTTGAAACAAAATGTTTTTTGTTCATATATTTTTTTTTATTAAATATAAATTTTTTCGTCTATATCATGTGTAAGTATTGAAACCGCAAAATTTTATCGTTTAATTTTGTTGGGCAAGCAAAAAAAAACGATAACTTTGTCAGACAATTAAATTCTCAGATTAATATTACATTTTTTAAATAATGCCGCTTTTGTCCGACAGCTGGTTATAACCAACCATGTTGTCGTTAAATCGACATCTACGGGGCATCGGACTGCAAAAACTTCTCAAGAATTTTGTCAGACAATAAGATACTTTCATTTCAAATCTTATTACTAAACCCTCCCAGAAATATCAGCTTGCTGGTTGTCACCAACCACAATGTCACCAAATCGACATATTTGGGGTGGGGGACAAACTCAAAATGCCAAAATTTTTTCGGACAAATTTTTTGGGGGGTTTAAAAAAATATATATATTTCATTTGATCTTAAAAAAAAAGTGCTGGTCATAACATTCCATGTTTATGCTAGATTGACATGTTTTCCTGAAAATCACGGGAAAACTTACCACTGTTGAATTTTCCTCATAGTCAAATCTTGGGAGACTCGTCAAACTTAAGCTGCACGCAAAGTTACAGCTTGCTGGTATAGTCCAAGCATTCTGTCATGGATTAATGTTAAATTTGCAGAAATTATTACCTGGACAAAAAAAATATGACCATATAGAAAATTAAATTTTAAATTGAATTTCTTGTTCTTTAAACTCGATCCAATATGGCGAACATGGTTAAAAAAATCGCAATGTTGAAAAAAACGGTTTTTCTAAAATAACTAAAAAAATATAGCACGGATTAAAAAATTTTAAATGAGAAAGTTGTAGGTTTTAAAAAGATCTATCGACTGATTATTTGAAAGTATCGATTGCTTTGTTACTTTTCGAGATATATCGAAAAAACCGTTAAAAATCTGCTCTTTTCTCTTCTTCTATAACTCGTTTACATTTACGTTCCCATATTTACTATTTACTGCAAGCATAGCCCGCTGCAAACCAAAAAAGTACATTTTTGAAAATTTTAAATATATTAATTATTTTTCGAGATATATCGATTTTTTGAAAAAAAGGCGCTCCCGAAAATTGACTAGATCTTCTAAGCAGATAGCCCTACAGTAACGATTTTCGGTTTATTTTCTTCATAAAGAGTTATATTATCATGCTGTTAAAAAATGTTGACATTTTTATTAATTTTAAGGATCAAAAATTTACTGAAAATGTTGCACTTTTTTTGGGTGTTTTTTTTAAATAACTATTTCAATTTTTATTATTTTTTTGTACTTAATCTGGGGTAGCTAAACACGAATATTATAGCATTTTCGCCTTAGAAGCAAAATAGACCCGTAAATGTTTAGTTTTCTTTTTTTAAAAGTCATTTTCATAAAATAAAAATTGAAATAGTAATTTGAAAAAAACACCCAAAAAAGTGCAACTTTTTCAGTCATTTTTTGATCCTTAAAATTAATAAAATCGTCAACATTTTTTAACAGCATGATAATATAACTCTTTACGAAGAAAATAAACCGAAAATCGTTACTGTAGAGCTATCCGCTGAGAAGATCTATCCAATTTTCGAGAGCGCCTTTTTTTCAAAAAATCGATATATCGAAAAATAATTAATATTTTTAAATTTTTCAAAAATGTACTTTTTTGGCTTGCCGCGGGCTATGCTTGCAGTAAATAGCAAATATGGGAACGTAAATGTAAACGAGTTATAGAAGAAGAGAAAAGAGAAGATTTTTAACGGTTTTTTCGATATATCTCGAAAAGTAACAAAGCAATCGATACTTTCAAAAAATCAGTCGATAGATCTTTTTAAAACCTACAACTTTCTCATTAAAAATTTTTCAATCCGTGCTATATTTTTTTAGTTATTTTAGAAGAACCGTTTTTTTCAACTTTGCGATTTTTTTTAACCATGTTCGCCATATTGGATCGAGTTTAAAGAACAAGAAACTCAATTTAAAATTTAATTTTCTATACGGTCATATTTTTTTTGTCCAGGTAATAATTTCTGCAAGCATTTCTCTATAATGCTTGGACTAGTAATCATTTATTTTTTTGTACGTGGGCCCGTGGACTAGTCCTACATTCGTCCGAAATTGGTCCCTCAATTTAAGTACTCCATAAAAAACTTTTATAATGCTTATATCAGCATTAGCACTATAATCATACTGGAATGCATATTAGCACCTCTAATCATTCAATTTCAAAACATTTTATATTCGATAATATTCAGTAAATAATGTATATAGTCGAAGAATTTTGTTTTTTTCAGATTTAATATATAACATTTTTATGATAAGAGTTATTCTGCAGTGATTTAATATTATTAAAAATTATGTTTTTAGCTTGAAAAGAGTCCTACTTTAGGAAGTATAGAGACATCAGACTATGATAAAAGGCAATTTGCTTACCAGTCCCTTGAATTTAACTTAAAAGATAAACAATTCTGTGATTTGTTCCCTGATACGGTGTCAATGATTCAGGTTAGTATGCTAATTAAATTAAAAATTTTAAATACAGGGTGGTTTGATTTTTAAAAACAGGTAGATTATCAAAAAGTAGTAATGTAACTTGTGTTTCATTTTACAGTATATGGTGTTGATCTTAAGAAAATATTTTTCTTGAATGTTTTCCAAATGCCACAATGTTGTCGTTAAAATTTTGTAGAATATTTTTGTCTGTAAACGATAAGTTTTTAAATGTTTTTTATTTGTTTACCAGCTTCATAATGAAAGAGGGTGGCAAATGCTTTAATTAAAAAAAATAAATAAAATTTATGTGCCACTGGCAAAGTACAAGAATAACTAAAATATCTGGTCATTTTATAATAAAAAAAGTGATAAATATTCAGCTTTCACAAAATTTGATATGGTTATACCTACAATGAGTATTTACAAAACCATGATAGTAATTGTACATTTCAGTTACCAGTGCTGTAGGTTTGGGGAGTCACCCTGAATATACAGAGTGATCCATTCAAAATGCTATACTTTATTTTTACTAATCTAGGCCTACCACAAGATTTTTGAACGACTAAAGTTCAAGAAATTGTAGTAGCGATTTTTTTTATATAAAGTCCAAATACACCTCTTTACGGAGTGATTTTTGAGTTTACATAATGTTAACCATCTATTCTACTCATTAAAATAGACTACTTTGTTATATAACTTTCTTGGAAATTTCCAAAAATACCTAAGCAAGAAAAGAAAAAATTAAATTTAATATTAATTACAATAATTCGGCCTTGAAAGGTTTCTGTTCTAAGTGTGTTTTTTTCTGTCGTTTTTTGTATGTTAATGTTTGTAAAAGCAAATGGACCATGTTTATAAGAATAATGAACTAGTAGAGATGCTGTCATCAAAATGCAGCTGTTTCTTGTTGCTTGTATGAAGAACCCTTTCTCTGACAAGTCCATGCCAACTTCAGAAGTTTTATTAATCTTGTTCATCGTGTTACGGAAACTGGTGATTTACATGAATATCGTAGAGGGCATACAAGAAGACCAAGAATAAATGTGAATAAATAGCAAATTTTAAATCTTGTCAAGGAAGACTCTACTATAAGTATTTGGAAAATCACACATCAGAAAAACAAAAGCCAATCTAAACTGTGAGTACATTGTATGAAAATTAGTTTTATCCCTTTCATATGCAATGTGTCCAAGCACTACAACAGGAAGACCAAGTTCAATTCTGCAAATGGCTCTGACTGAATTTATTTATGTCAGAATAATCTAAGTATATAAGTAATTATTTCGCGCTAAAAGTTATAAGGGTGGCACCAGGAAAAGTAAAATCGTATTTATTTAAGATTTGACTTTTTGACAAAAAAAATTATATATGGATTATATGTTGTGCACTGTAAACTGCTTAAATTATATGTATACATTTAAGAATCACTCTGTGAATGAACTAATCATTATTATTTGATAGTCTACAAATTCTTTAAATGATAAAAATTGAACCACCTTGTCTACTGTGTTTAAGTTAAAAATGTATAGGTAGTAGAAACATTTTACATTTCAATATTTTTACTTTTGCAGGCTGAAATTACAAAAAGAAGTGCAACTCAGAATATAACATTAGAAAACCAAAAATCCATTCAAGCAGCTGCACAGCCCAGCAATATCCAATCGTGTATTACAAATTTATGTGTGATCATCGGTTTTGCAGCATTTGCATTTACCGTGAAATATGTCATGAAAACTATAGCTTCTGAAACAGAGTAACTACGTATTTGTAATTATTGTTATCTTCTTTAGTTTAGTTTCAAATAAACCACTATCATAGTTTGTTAACCCCAATTCGCTCTTAGAATTCCGTTACAATGTAATTGTGATAAATAAATTGTTGGTTTATTATTAATTGGACCCATCACAATTATAAGATAGTTATTTTTATTGAATATAATTTGTTATGGTATTTAAACTTAGATATTAGAATTGTTTAACAAATGAAACATTTTTAGTGAAAATATATTTCTACATATTTTATAAATGGCTTTAATAATTATAAATATCATATGAAATTGTGTTGGAAAAATAAAGGAATTTTTACCTACACCTCTTATTAAGAATACAAATTGAAATCCCATTTTGTCTAACCAAGTACCTTATAATAATAATGCATTTATTGCCCAAAGGAACAAATGTTCCAATTACCTACTACAATATTAAAAAATTCAGTTGCAACATATAACAAATTATTTAGGGTACAGTAGTTTATACAGGGTTCTTCACAGTAAGTGGTCTATTAGGAGGAACCAAAGACAATATGACTGAAATTTTGTTTACGGGGATTTTCAGATATGTTTTCTTCTATGAAAATAATGCCATCAACGTAGCACTTCCGGTTATACCGGAAGTAGCTGTCAACTTCGTTGTTTTAATTGGAACACCCTATATATTATTGCATTATCGACAAAGTAAATTAAAAATAACTAACTCTCTAACTGTTTACGAGATAATCGTCATTTTACAAAAAAATTGACAGATGCAAGCGTTTCGATATATCTTTCTTCGTTCTGGGAGCTTTCACTTGCTTTTCAGAATACACAAAGAACATAATATGCACTACCTTTCGCTATTAAAACTACCTGAAGAAAATTATACTAAGTGCCTCATTTTTCACGTTACATTTTGAAAACTTAAAACCGACAAAACTTTTTAAATTCAAATGGAACACCCTGTATTTTTCTACATCATATTATAGAAAATAAGTTTCTCTTTTCACCGATATAGGCATTGTAGGGATTACAGTTCCAATTTTCTCAGATATTTGCGATTTACTTACATTTTCAATAATATTACGTTAAAATATCATCAAATGTACCTTGAAAGGCAAATATTGCTATTGTCATTCAGTATTCTACAAGTTTCAAGTACTTTCTTGAAAAAAATGCAGAATAATTATTCTAATGACGATAATTTGAATTTATTTTATATCCATGGGACATTCACCATGAATCAGTATTAGCTGCATTTCTATGATTTGGTATTTTGCAAAATTTGAAGAATTGGACGCAAATGAAATTCGGCCATCTGCATACAATAGCGTTCTTTGTAAAACATTTATTTTTTTTTGTTTTTTTTATAATTACAGTAATAAAGTGCGATGTTTCACGTTTGTTGCATCTAAATAATGAGGGGGGTAGGTACCTATATTTACACAAAATAAAAGCTAATAAGATTTCCTTCCATTGGGATACTATTATTAGCAACTGCAAGTACAATAAAGAGCAAATAAGCATCCTTTGATTAAAACAATTAAATGTAAAGCAACCAAAATTTTAAATAATAGTATCCTCTCAACTTCATTCCAAATATCATAAAATTATAATGCATTTATTAGGTATTTGAAATTATCTTATTTATTGTCATTGGAATTATTTAAAAACTTTTATAATAACATTAAAAATCGGAGAAAAATTCTAAGAAAACTAACCAAAATCATTTCATTAATTGTCCTGTTTCAGTTGCAAAATACCAAATCATAGAAATACAGATAATAATTTTGATTCGCAGTGAATTTTCCATGGATGTAAAATAAATTCAAAATATTTGCATTAGCAAATACTTGTAGCAGGTTCGGATCCAGAGACTGGTTTTGGGGGTGGCGCAAAGCACTTCTTTCAGAGGAGCTTGACACTAATGAATCCTTCTACTTGCATTAATATCGACTAACTGCCTGTTGTCGTTTGGAGAAATTGAAGATCTTTAAAAAATGTTGTGCTTTGGGGGTGGCGATCGCCACATCGCCACCCCCTCTGGATCCGGGCCTGACTTGTAGAATACTGAATGACAGTACCAATATTTGCCTTTCATGGCACATTTGATGATATTTTTAACGTAATATTCTTGAAAATATAAGTAAACCGAAAATATCTGAGAAAATTGAAACTGTAACCCCTACAATGCCTATATCGGCGAAAAGAGAATTTGGTTTTCTATAATATGATGCAGAAATATACAGGGTGTTCCATTTGAATTTAAAAAGTTTCACCGGTTTTAAGTTTTTAAAATGTAACGTGAAAAATGGGACACTTAGTATAATTTTCTTCAGGTAATTTTGATAGCGGAAGGTAGTGCATCTTATGTTCTTTGCGTATTCCGAAAAGCAAGTGAAAGCTCCCAGAACGAAAAAATATATAAGGAATTTTCGAAACGCTTACATCTGCCAAAATTTTTATAAAATGTCGATTATCTAGAAAACGGTTAGATTTAGGTAAAGAGAAGCTTTAACAATTTTGTTTTAATTTATTTTGTCAATAATGCAATAATATACAAGGTGTTCCGTTTAAAATAACGACGTTGACAGCTACTTCTGGTATAACTGGTTGATGGCATTATTTTCATTGAAGAGAACATATCTGATAACCCCCGTAAACCAAATTTCAGAGTCTTATTGTCTTTGGTTCCTCTGAAACGTTTAATAGGTCACTTACCGTGAAGAACCCTGTATAACATTGCATAGATATATTAAATTATAATTATTGTTTACCATGACATGGATGGGAGATTTAAGAAGTAGGTACATTGGTATATACTTGTATATTAAAATAACCCAGTAGATATGTTGTGTAGACGCCCAGTGAGCGAAATCGCTCAAAATTTCGTGAGTATTAAAAAAAAATATATCCCAATTTGTACAAGTCCAAAAAAATTTTGAAAAACATTTTGATTTTCGAAATTCTTTAATATTTTGGATTGGAGTCAAAATACAGAAAAATAAAAAATACTACTATGTAGAAGAAGTTTTTTCCAACGAAAAGGATAGTTTGCACTTTTTTCGTCCGAGCTATGGTTTGTCGAAAAAAAATTATGAAAGCCATGAAGTTATCTTCCGCGGGCAAACAAGCGAATAAATTCACTCTTCAAACGTAAGAATTGTCAAATTTCACTCAAATATTGTATACATTAATATGTAGAAATGAATATTCGATCTTAATTTAATGCAAAAAAATAAATTCAAAAAATTTTCAAAATTTTTGAAAAAAATTCTCCAATTTTTTTTTTTTTAGATTTTCGGATATTCTCAGGGTAGTAAATAGTAAATACAAGGGAATATTTACATATATTTTTTCAAAATTATATAGAATCATCGTTTTCACGTATACTATATTTCCTATCTGGATACTTTTTCATAACTGTTGACTATTTACATTCTACTCTTTGAATATTTGTCTTCATATTGTAACAGTATCAAATTTTATATTAAACGATCAAAGGACATTTACATCGGGAATCAGAAAAATTGCTCTTTTCTTATAATATTAAAAAAAATCTGTGAAACAACGTTCGTAACCAAATGTATTTGTACTTAGAGATACTTAATCTGTGTAATTCCCCTAACATTTAAACAAAAATTTCATTCAAATTTGTTTAGTTTTAATAAAGTTCCATAGACTAATATACAGGGTGTCCCATAAACACATGATCAAATAGGTACTGCGACATTCTTTGGCTCAAAAGAAGACGATCTGACCTAACTTCCATTAAGAAAAAATGTCTGGTTCCTCCGCTATTGATTGTCAAAATTCTTGAAAAAAATTGTTTTTTGTAATATCTGGAGAATGTTACTTTGGATTTTAATGAAACTTGCTGTGGACTTATTCCTAAGTAAGACTCATGCTTTAATGAAGCAACCGCATCCATCCGCCTTGGGCAAGTGATAAATTCTTGAGTGTCTTGATACAAGAATTACCAGAACTTTTTATTTTACCGCTGACATCACTTCATTTTTTTTTATTGATGCATCAGTCCTTTTTCGAGATTTTCGTGCTCTTTGTAAAATCTTGTAGCATTCATAGTTTTTAGGCAGAAAAATGTTTTCAATTTTAGATAATCATTATCACTACTACTCACTACAATCACTACTATCGTAGTAAGCGATGATTTCATTTTATAATAAATGCAGAAGAAAACCCACATGCAAGGCGTATTAACCACTTTCAGGTGGAATTTTGAATAAATGTTTGGGCCGGGATCATCGGTGACATCGTTCTGAGTCTTTATGTCATGCCGCGCCGCTTGAATGGCGAAAATTATCTAAATTTTTTGAATAATACTTTTCCGGTTCTAATGGAAGATGTCTCTCTCGATCTTCGTGCTCAGATGTGGTTCATGCACGATGGTACTCCTGCGCACTTTAGTGCACATTTAAATAATACTTTTTCACACAAGTGAATCGGAAGAAGACGTGTTTCTGTCGAACGGCCGCCCAGGTCTCCCGACTTAATGGCATTAGATTTTTTTCTATGGGGAGCCTTAAATAATAGTTTTCGCCATCCCTGTGGAATCCCAGGAAGAATAATTACGTAGGATTCAAAACGAGACGGACATAATACCAGATCCAGAATGATCCAGAAATGTTGAGGAGGGCCCAATTCAATTTCAATTGAAAGATCCAGCTATGCATCCAAGAAAATGGCTGACATATTATCGAACATGTTTTGTAATTCCATCATCATCTACCGTATCTATGTAACTATCATCCAGTTTCAATAAAGAGAGTTATGTCTTTCCTATGTACGTCTTTAGATTTTTTGCGCGTTAACGAAAAATAAATCTAATTAAATAAAATGACATTCAATCCGTCGATTTTAAAATTGGAACCATTTTTCTTTCAATATTGATATCCTAGGTAAAAGAATTGGCATAATTATTAGAGAAAGCCATTTCTTATAAAAGGTCAGATACGATACGATTCCTGCCATACGTCTAAAATATTGTTGTCGAAACGAAACAGAATTTTTTTTTGTGTAAAAACTATGAATGCTACAAAATTTTACCAAGAGCATGAAAATCTCGAAAAAGGACATCAACAAAAAAAAATAAATTGATTCCAGCGGCCAAATAAAAAGTTCTGGTAATTTCTGTTCCAAGACACTCAAGAATTCACCACTTGCCCAAGGCGGATGGATGCGGTTGCTTCATCAAAACATGAGCCTTACTTAGGAACAAGTCCACAGCAAGTTTCATTAAAATCCATAGTAACATTCTCCAGATAT